TTGGAATTAATATTACCCTTGAAGAACAAAGAAAATAAAATATCTACACAAACAATGAAAATATTTGTGCAAAATTTACACAGAAATTTGGGTAAGTCACTTTTTTCAACAACAGACCATTTTAGTACAAGTACTGAAATGAATAATTAATTGTGATGGAAAATGAACGTCACCACACCGGTTGGCCTGGACCAACACCGACCATGCATGCATGGATGCACCTGTGACCCATGTGTGTAGGAAAACAGAAAAAACAAATAAAAACAAACACATAATCAAGCACTCGAGTTTTCTAACAACTAATGGATTAGTGACATTCGTATTACCCTTTAAGTAGAAATAAAATGAAAAAAAAACTTTAAAAATAATAATAAGAAAAGGTAAAAATAATTTACACAGAAATCACACTTTTTTTTATAATACGCAAGATAAGCATACAATAGTAAAATATATGGAATTTTGCTTTGTTATAATATGCAAAGTATATATGCACGCAATTTACACAGAAATTGTGCTTTGATATAATTTACAAGAATAAATGTACAATAGAGGAATTAGTGCCATTGGTATTACCATTCAATAAGAAAGAAAATAAAATAACAACTAGAACAAAATCAAAATAACAAAGTTTTCTAAGGAAGAATGAATTAGTGGCATTAGTATTACCCTTTCAGAGAAAAGAAAAAAAAGAAAAAAAAAGTTGCTCAAAATTTACAGAGAAATTTCATTCGTTATAAAATATGCGAAATAAACATCTAATAGTGGAATTCAAAACAATACTACGAAAAATTGTATTAGTGGCATCGGTATTACCTTGAAAGAAGAAACCCAAAACATAAAAACTATAAACGAAGAATGAATTGGTTGCATTAGTATTACACTTTCAGAACAAAGAAAATGAAAAACAATAATTACAAAATTTGCACTTTTTTACAATATGCAACTAATGGAATTTTCACAAAAATGAAAGTTTCTATGGAGGAATGAATCAGTGCCATTGGCATTATCATAAATAAAGTACGAAAATGAAGTAATGACTAAAATGAGAATCTAAACAACGAAGTTTTCTAAAAACAAATGAATTAGTGACTTTACTATTACCTTTAAAAGAATAAAAGAAATAAAAAGTAAAACAAAATCAAAATAACGAGGCTTTCTAAGGATGAGTAAATTAGTGGCATAGGTGTTAACCTTTAGGAAGAAAGAAAATGGAATAAAATACAATGACAAAATTGCACACAATTTACACAAAAATTGTGATTTTTTATAATATGCAAGAATATGCATATTATACTGGTCACAAAAAAAAGTTTCATAAGAAGGAATGAATTAATCGCATTGATATTACCATTATATAAGAAAGAAAATGAAGTAAAAACTAAAAGAAATCAAAATAATGAAGTTTCTAAGAAAGAATGAATTAGTGGCTTGGTATTATCCTTTAAGAAGAATAATGAAGTTTTTTAAGGAATGATAAATTAGTGGCATTGGTATTACCATTTAAGAGGAAAGAACAAACAACTCTAAAATTTGGCCCACAATTTTCATAGAAATTTCACCTTTTCATAATTTGGAAGAATATGTATGTAATGAAATAATATGTAAATAAAAATGATAAATATATAAGGAACAATAAATAGGATGTGTTGGAATTGCTTTACATATAGCTAAAGTGCATATCTATAGTATGCACAATGCATCATTTTTTTTTTTTGACCGTGCTATGGCGGGGTTGCGCCCGCCTGATACATTTTCACTATAGATAAGAGTAAGATACAACACATCGGGTACAACAGAACCATCCAATACACACAAGAAGGCACAATCAACAACAGAAGGAGAACCAGAAAAGAGCTACGGCAACGAGCCAACACCAAGAACTTTGCACCCAACAGCACTATCTGAACCGAGAAGAGCGGAAGCAAGCTTTGTTAAATTTGTGAAAAGGAGATCCATCATCGAGAAGACGTAGATAAGAAGTCACCAGCTGCCCTGCGATCAATCTACACCTTGAAGAGCTAGGAAGTCGTATCCATCGTCGAAGGGCATCCCATTGCCTAGCCACGTCACGGCAGAGAGAGCCGCGGACCGTATCGAACGACAATATTCCACCGAGACAGGATTTACACCTCCTCTAGGCCACACCATGGCCACCATCACAAATAGAGAGAACCAGAGCACTGTGCAAGGTAACATAATCTCAAAGGTTGTCAAAGGGCACTGAACACCGAGACCTCATCGCCGCTATGAGCCCCGTGAGATAGGTCAACCATCAGCACGAAGATAGGTCGCCTCCACAGATCACTACCATCTCCACCATCCTACACGCCAACAACCCAACAAACACTCCAACCCAGACATGAAGCTACCAACCGCGGATCCGTGGCTCCCAAAACCAACACCCCCAAGGAGGAGAAACGACATCGAGACCTCGCCGTTGTCCGATCCATAGACGGGCCTAAGGCTTTCGCCCGTGGCACACGATTCAGCGGGCAATAGTAGCTTCCGATGACACCTTTATGAAGCGACAACCATAGACGTCGCCGTCATCGTTGCTGACAAGGTTGACACAAGTCTTTCGCCTGAAGCATCCCGTTTCTGTCATCTCCGTCGAAGCTGAGAGCTGAGCCCAGCAGCACGAGACCTCCCTGCCCTCATGACAGTCCACGGCGAGCACCTGCACAGCCGGAGTCGAGTTGGTGTCGACTACCACCTGCATACAGGCATTTGTCGTCGGTCACCCCACCACCGCCCTTGTCGGTTCCAGTCGGTAGCATCCACCGCCGACCCCCTGTTCGTGGCCACAGAACCGCGGGTTGGCCAAGCAAGCAGCTGAAAAGCTAGATCTAGGCGCCATGGTGCACCCCAGAGCGGCATGGCTGCACATCATCACGACCATGCAGCCTGTGCAACCACATCGCAACGCCCACCACCTGTGCCCCATGCCACCTGCAGGCTCGACGTCGCGCCTGACCGGCTCGCTGGACGCCCTGGATCCAGATCAGATCCAGATCAGATCAGATCTTCCGGCCGCCGCGTCACTGCTACAGAGTTAACCGCCACTGCCCCGCCTCCATCATCACATTGCATTTTGAGATCTGCACCGTGCATGTTACAAAGTTGACATGTTGAGATGTCAGTGCTACTTATCTTGAACGATTCATCACGTGGACTTTCTGCCAGTCTTGGATCTCCATGGAGAAGAACACCACCTTGATTAATTACTCTAATGTCTCCCAAAACCTTACTTTTTCAAGACAGTTTCACGCAGAAAATATATTGTGAACATCCACAATTTTTGTTTGTGAAGATCGGCTTGAGTTGGTGCACGTACGAGACAGGAGAGAAAGCACACAGTTACTGCGGACTACATGTCTACATATCTATAGCATGCACAATGCATCAAGTTGCATGTAACGAGTAGCTGACGTGCAGAAAGGACGGATCAATATGTTTACTATCTGACGGCCACCTTGAAATGCTCACCTTAAAAGCGGATGCGGATTCAGAACGGAAATTATCCAATGGATAGGGTAGAGGATATGGTATCGATAATATTCAGCGGATGTGGATTACCCGGTGTTTATTACAGATAAACTGAGGTTACTAAATAAGATTATCCGATAAATATAGCCCAATTGACAAGCCCAAACAAGAAATTAGTCGAGCACTAATTAATTAGTAATTATAACCACTGCATATAAATACAATATATGACCCTAAACCTAATAGTACTCTAGTATACAATCACAATCACAGCCGTCAGCTGTCAGCCGTGGTTGTCGCACGT